TGTAGGGAATTCCAAACACTTACAGGACGTTGGAACCACAAGATGGAAGAGGCCTGGGTTTCCAAGTGACTGCTTAGATCAAAGCTCTTCACACTGAAATGTGGAAATGAACAGCAACAAACACTTGCCATGTTGAGTCACAGAGATTTGTTTGTGATTCATTATAATCCACTTACCTTAATATAGGCAGGAAGATGAAGGTATTGAAGGGAACACTTGGAAGAAAATTGGGGGCCTGCAGAGTTTTAGCATCATCTCAGAGATAGTTACATGTCCACAGCCTTAAGAAGCAGAACGTGAATTCCTCTTCCTGATCCTAACCGTACAGACACCCCATGGTAAGAACCTTCTAGGTTGCTATATCACAGAGCAGTTGAAGGCCCCAGATCTGGAGCTGGGCTCTAGGAGCTGGGTTGCCTAGCTTTGAAACCCAGACCCATCTCTTGCTAGCCATGTAATCTTGGCCTTTTCCTTTTTTTTATTTCTTTTTTTCTTCTGTCTTCTTTTTATTCTCCTCTCTTCTCTCTTCTGCTCTCCTTTTCTTTTATCTATCTTTTCCTTTCCTTTCTTTCATCCTTCCCTCTGTCCTTTCTCTTCCTTCTTTCTGGTAGAGAGTGCACATGTGTAAGGAAAGAGTTTTTTTTTAAGAGTGAGAGAAAACCTTCAACACGGTCTTGTCACACTGTGATCTCCTTTCCCCAGACCTCGAGCTCATCAGTATCTTAGGTGCTGACATGTGCTCAGTGTGTTTTCAGACCCACCTGGGGATCTGACTTGCAGTCGGCCACCTGACTTCCAGCAGTCACGTGCAGTCTAGTATGCTATGGACTATGCAACTTAGGTTGGCCTTAGGGCAGTTTTGGAATCACTTGTGGCTCGGACCGAGGTGAGAGGGCTTTCTGAACTAGGCCAGAGTATCCTGAGCACTTCTCCCTGCCCGACATGAGCTTACCCAAGCAGACCAAGCCGTCCAACCTTAGCTGCTGGGAAGGGGTTGAGTAAACATCCTCCTGTGGTTCATGGAGAGCTCTCTCCTAGGCCACCCTGAGCTAAGTTGGTAATGAAGGTTTAACCAAATTCCTTGGGAGCTCAGATTCCTGAAGAGGAGCAGGAGGAAGGAACCTACAAAGGACACTTTCCAGAATCAACTCCTACTACGGTGCCTGCAGTATCGGGTGCCGTGTGTGGGCAGGTGGGAGATGAGGGGGGACCGTGCAGACCTTGGGGATTTCTGCTGTTATCCCAGTGGGTTTGGTCTTCCCTGGGAGGCACACAGCAGACAGTCAATGGCAGTGGGAGGAGCTGCTCCTCTTTCAGTCTGCGGTGTTACAGCCAGGAAGGTGACAGCGGGGTGGGGGTGCTGGGGACCTGAGAAGAACCAAGTTTATAGAGGGCCACAACCCAAGGAGAGGCAACAGAGCTTAAAACAAAGGCCAGCGAAGTCACCTAAATACTTACTGGGGACACTGCAGGTGAGGGAGCTGATTTCAAGGTGGGAGGGGTGCAGGGAAGGTATGTTGGTGACCGAAGGTGAGGCCAGACTTACAGGAGTGGAAAATTCTGTAGCCTCCTCTGCACCTCCCTCAGTTCAGAGCCTGCACTTTTCTCAGCTCTGTGCTGGCCGTGCTGCGTGGAGCATGTGCTGCCGAGTCGATGAACTGTACCACAAAGCCATCTTCTTTGTGCCTTGGTTTTCACAGCACGTCAGTCCTCTTCCTCGGCCTCAGTTCAGTTGGTGAGCCTCCTGGCTGAGCTGTCTAGAATTCTCACAAATGCTTGTAATGCCAGCCTCCTTGGCTCTTGTCTGGTGCTGCTCCCAGGGCTGAGGACGGGTGCCCTGTGGGAGGTGTAAGTAAAGGGCACTGACCAGTGTTGCCAGGGGAGACTCAAGCCAGGTTTAGGGCTACCAGAGTGAACAACAACAGAAACCAAGACACCCAGTTAAATTTGAATTGCAGATAAACATTTTTAGTGCAGCTATGTGGTGGCTAATTTTTTTTCCTTAACTGAATTCTAGATTTCACTGAGTGCCCCATGTTTTACTGGCAAGGCTCCGGGCTTCCTCCCAGCCTGGTCTGGGCAGACAGAGGGAGATTTGCCGAGGAGCATCTCCTGCCATTCCCAGGGGCAGCTCTGTCTACTCTAGAATAGGCGGTTGCAGACCACCCCTGGCCAGGCGCTGGGTTCTTCCCACCAGCAATTCCATCAGTTTCTTCATTCATAAAATTCACCACCAAAGCCGTGGCAATGGGAAGGGGGGCAGGCGGCGGGGCTGCCATCCATCATGCTGCCACTAACAAGGCTGGTTGCAGACCGCGGCCGTTCCAGCACATTCATGGTCATTACGGGCCTAATGAAGATTTGTGATGCTGCTGGAGGAGGCTTCCAGCCCGTTGTTGTCTCAAACAGGCGGGGAGGGGGTGCCCTTGGGAGTAGCTACTGGGGAAGGGATTTCTGGGGATGGCAAGAACTGGGAAGGGTGAGAAGGAAAGGAGCAGAGAAGGAAGTGTAAGCTCTAGAGAGATGAGGGCTCAGGCTGCAGGTAGAGCTGGGAGGGAGGGAAGGAGGGGCCCCAGGTGGGCCATTGGCCAGGGAATAGATGCAGGTTGTGGGGACAGCAAGAAGTGAGCAGTCAGGGGCTCTTAGTTCCCTTGGGCTGCTGTAACATATGATCAGAAACATGGTGGGTTAAAACAACAGAAATATATTCATGCACAGTTCTGGAGGCAGAAGCCTGAAACTAGATTCTCCGAGCTGTAACCAAAAGCGAGGAGTAGACAGGGCTGCCTGTCTCTGGAGGTCCTGGGGGAGGATCCATAGATTTGTAGGGAGACCATCTCAGGGAAGGTCTAAACTTCACTCTTCCCTGCTTTGCTTTGCTTCGTGGTGGGCATCACTGTATAATGTACTCCCTGTTTAGATCGGGCCTAATGAAGATTTGTGATGCTGCTGGAGGAGGCTTCCAGCCCGTTGTTGTCTCAAACAGGCGGGGAGGGGGTGCCCTTGGGAGTAGCTACTGGGGAAGGGATTTCTGGGGATGGCAAGAACTGGGAAGGGTGAGAAGGAAAGGAGCAGAGAAGGAAGTGTAAGCTCTAGAGAGATGAGGGCTCAGGCTGCAGGTAGAGCTGGGAGGGAGGGAAGGAGGGGCCCCAGGTGGGCCATTGGCCAGGGAATAGATGCAGGTTGTGGGGACAGCAAGAAGTGAGCAGTCAGGGGCTCTTAGTTCCCTTGGGCTGCTGTAACATATGATCAGAAACATGGTGGGTTAAAACAACAGAAATATATTCATGCACAGTTCTGGAGGCAGAAGCCTGAAACTAGATTCTCCGAGCTGTAACCAAAAGCGAGGAGTAGACAGGGCTGCCTGTCTCTGGAGGTCCTGGGGGAGGATCCATAGATTTGTAGGGAGACCATCTCAGGGAAGGTCTAAACTTCACTCTTCCCTGCTTTGCTTTGCTTCGTGGTGGGCATCACTGTATAATGTACTCCCTGTTTAGATAGTTACCTTTTTTTTTTTTTTTCCTGCTTCTGCTGTTAAAAAGCCTATTAAAAGGTTAGGGATTCTAGTTTACTTTTATCACCACTGAATTCCTGCTTAAAACAGTGCCTAGCACACAACAGGAGCTCAAACATATTTGTTGAGTGAATGCATGAGTGAGAGAGTGAAGGAAATCTTTTCCAAGCTGCTGTGCAGAGAATAGAGCATCTGGAGCACTGAGTAGCAGCCGAGGGACCCGTAAGAAGCTCTAACAACCAGGCACAAGTTGCCAGTGGAAGCTTGGAGTGGGTGGTCACGGTGCAGAGTGGGACGTGGTTGGATTAGAGGTAGTTTTTGAAAGTTGAGGTAACAGGATACGCTGAAGTATCAGTTGCAGGAGGAGCATCTCCAAGATGCTCTGAAGGCACCTCCACTCCCTGAGCTAGAGATGGCTGGGGAGGGACAGTTTTGCAATGCCCATGTCCAGTGGCCTTTTAAACTAGGGACACACAGAGGAAGAGGAACCAGGCTGGCATTTAGAGAAGTTGGATTCCATTCTGGTTCAATCTTCAAGATGGCTTTCCTGACCTAATGCAGTACACGTCGCCTCCCTGGCCTGGAGAGTCTTCAACTCTAGAGTGAGGAATGGCTGGCCTAGAGCCTGTCCCAAGTCCTTGAACAGGAACTGAGTCAGGCGGGAGAGGACAGATTGTGGAGTCAGACAAATCTGCACTCAAATCCAACCCCTATCATCAGTTATTAATTTCACTGGACCCAATTTCTTTCTCTCTAAGATGAAACAGTAATACTGACTTCACAAAGATGCTGTGAAGTTCAAGTGATACAATGTCTGTACCTGCCAAACACTGTTCCAGGCATGTAGAAATATCAACAAATGTTCGTTTTCTCCCCTGATTCTCTTCCCCTCACAGTACACCGACATCTTAATTTCATAGCACCCAGTAACTACCTACCTTGAAGCAGACGGCGTTGAAGTATATAATGTTCTTTACCTCTGTATATATAAGAAACATGCCACTTCAATGCAAATATGCTCCACGAATTATTGAAAAAAGGCCATTTACTAGTATCTATCAAATATTACAAGGAAGATCTATTGCTTTGCTCGGCGGTGCTCAAATATATTCTACAGGAAGAATAAGAATCATTCTCTTCTTTCTCTGCCATCACCTTTCTGTGAGATTTTCTCACTCCAGGTGTTCAAATCCCAGAGAGAAAACTTCCTCTTCTTGTCTGACATTTTCAAATGTGTTGATATATACCCATGGAGTGATGCTGCCGAAGATGGTGCCACTCACAGCTCCAACCTGAATGCAGTAGCTCCCCGAATTCTATTTATGTCATAATGAATATATTCAACTGAATAGTGTCAAAGACTTCCTAGGTGCACCTGCGGCTAAGAGCGCAGTGTAGATCTGGAGGGATTTTGAATTTTCCTTCCACAAAAATAATTTTGGCAGCTTGGGATCAATAGCATCCTCCCATATGTTTCACATTCTCAGTAAAGTATAATTGAAGACACCCTTCTCAACCGTACTTCTCAGCATGAATACATTCAGAAATTCTAAAAAGGTAATTTGGAAAGGAAGAAAACTAACATTTGGTGAGTTCCGACTACACGCCAGGGCTTGTGATGCACCTTTGCATATGTCATCTCATTTGTACGCACAACAGCTCTGAGGGAAGGATAATGTCAGGCTTCTGCAGAACAGGAGACTGAGGCTCAGGGAGTTAAAGTACCTGCCTAAGATCACGCAGTCGGTGGTGGTGTAGCTAGGTTCTGAGGCCAGTATCCTCTGGCTTCATGGCATGCTCCCTTGTATGAAATTTCATATCTGCGTCTCTAATTCTCCCCTTCCTTGCCCCTAAGCTTCGTCTCATTGAGTACGTGGATTCAAATCAGTGGGAAACTCAAAACTTTGACAGCAGATGTGGAACGAGTTTCATTGGGCCAAATCTACCTTTGGACACACCCTTGTCATTTTCAGTTAAACTGCCTTGGCGTCCTCACTTCATTGTGTATAAACGGAAGCAGAACTGGACAGAGCCATCTGTGACCTTGGGCTGAAGGACACTTTGATGCTATCCTAGGAATTGCGTGTCTTCCTCTGGGAGGTGAGAGGGAAGTTGTCCCAGCCCAAAGGAGAGGGATTCCTTCCACTGCTGCTCTGACAGCCGTCTCGGCAACCCTCCCAGGCAAACTCCCTGGCTGCTCTGGGCTCCATGCAATGGTTCCTGTTGGGGTGAGATTTGGCTCTGTGTCTCTCCCTGCCCATTAATCTTCATTTTAGTTTGTTGTTATAAAGATACATCTTGAAGCATTCAAGAAGTGAAGGCGGAGTTCATCCGTGTCACAGACAGCATGCTTCAAGGATTGCTATTTCTTCAATCTGCCAACTTGGACGTCAAAGAATATGTTCTGGGAGGAAATGGACTTGGAAATGTTCCTGGCTTTTCCCTCGTCTCCCTTCCCATCTCTAAATTTGTCCAGAACAGCAGAAGCCATTTTATTATTGTGTCCAGGACCAAGAGAACAGGATATCTTTTGTGGTCCAGGAATGGGGTGACCCTTTGACCCCATGATGTTCCCAGATACAGTGATCCCCACACTACATGCTTTTGGCCTGGCTGCCATGTGACTTCCTCTTCCTAGAGACACTGAGTTTCTCCCCAGCCCAGCAAGCTCACTGGCTTCCCTGGGTGTTCGTGTAGTTGTTAAAACACAGTTTTGGGGTTGTCTCTTTAGTCCTGAGACCTACTCTTCTCTCTCACTTTAGTTAAAACTAAACTGCTACTGGTAGCTAACTGACCTCTGCATTTTTCTTTGCTTCTGTTTTGGGGAACTTCAGATAGGGGAGAGTTCTGATCATTGGAAGGTTGGACTAATTCCTTAGGAAGTGGAGGAACAAAGTCTTGGTATAAAGTGTTGACTAATCATGGCTTTCAGGAAGGTGTCTTCATGGGGCTGGAAGAAAAGGGAATTAACATTTATCGAGCTCCTGCTAGTGAGTTCCTGTGCTCACAGCCTTTGCTATCTGCTTTGTAAAAGTTTTTTTGAAGAGATTTTTGATACAGGGCATGTGCGCTTGCTAGATAGAGATGGACAGAGAGAAAGTGAGAAATTGCCCCCTTAGGGGATGGCCATGCTGCAGTCCCTTCTCTTACATTCTCTTCTCAGGATTTTGGGCACTCACACACTCACCCAGAGTTGAGTTTCAAGCCCTCTTGTCTGAGACTTGAACCACAGTCAACCATGGGGGAGTCAAACGCCTTAACCACTATACCACCTGCTGGTCCCACTATCTGCTTTATTTTTATATTATTCAATTTCTGGCAGCTGTATCCCTATGTTATGGTGAATGAAATTCAGAGTCAAGGAAGGTAACAGAGGTCAATCTGTAATATAACTTCAAACCTTGTGCTTATTTAAAAACAATTTTTTTTTGGAGAGGTTTTTTGCTATAGGGTATGTGCACTCGCCAGAAAGAGAGAGACAGAGAAACAGAAAGCAAGAAATCACCCCCCTCCCAAGGGGTTGGCCACCACAATCCCTTCTCCATTCTCCTTTTGGGATCTTGGGTGCACACACACACACGTGCTCGGTGTGAGTTTAAGCCACAGGGTCTGGGACTCAGTTGACTATATAGCCATTATGCCAACTGCTGGTCCCAACTTGTGCTTTTTATATCATTATAAAAAATGGAATTTTTGGGACCAGCGGTTGGTGTAATGGCTATGTTGCTGAATTCCTATGTAGTCAACCATGGTTTGAGTCATGGACCTGGTGGCTTAAACTCATGCTGGGCACGTGTGCGTGCATGCCCGAGATCCTGAGAGGAGAATGGAGGAGAAGGGATTGTGATATGGTCATCCTCTCTGGGGGGTGATTTCTCGCTTTCTGTCTCTCTGTCTCTGTCTTTTTGGCAAGTACACATGCTCTATAGCAAAAACCTCTCAAAAAAAAAGTTGGGATTTTTTTCCCCTTCTTTCCTCAATTTTGTATTTTGGGAGTGTTTAGGCAATCAGCTCTTGTTACAGAAAATTGAAAGAACTTTTCTGTAGTTGCTTTAAATTAATTTAAATGATTTATTGCAACAAATTAGAATAAAACACTAGATTTTATGTTATCTTGTTTATTAACTCACCAATGGTTATTGGACACCTGTTGTTTTCAAGGCACTTAAAAAAAAGAAGAGATCTCATCACTTCCCTCACAGAGCACAGAATCTGGCCTCAGAGATAAACATGTCTACTGCAATGCATACTGACCAGAAAAATGTATATAATATATATGGTTACAAAAGAGAAAGCAGTTAATTCTAACCTAGAAAAGTCAGGAATGGTTATGTACTATTTTTGTCAAGTTTTTAAGAATGAGTAGGAGTTTTCTAGACAAAAAGATGTGGGGGAGGATATTTACAACAAATATGATTAATGTTGAAATTCCAAATAGGATTGTGAATGCAAAGTCCAGGCAAAATCCACTGTTAGACCACCAAGATGTTTTACAAAGTAGTAAGTATTGAAGATAATTTTCCATGCTTTAGGGTCTGAACTTTAGTCTTGTTAAAGGATAAATTCACAAAGACTATGGTCTATATCGTGGGGCAAATTCTTATTTTTTCCTCTTCTTTCTTTATTTTCTAATTTTTTAACATTCAATCACTGTACATCTTTACAGCATACAAAATACATTTTCCCAGTATGAATACACTGTATATTAGTTCAGTCAAAGATATTATCATATACATTATCATCAGCAGATAATTTTCTTTTTTTTTATTAATTCACTTTACACCATCACAACACACAAATGAATTTTCCATCCAAAATACACTGTGCATTGGCTCAATTAAGCACATCCACATACATGTTCTCAGCAAATAATTTTCCAATTCTTACATCCTGCATACCTTGCCCTTTGTCTTGCCATCCCTGATTCCCCATCCCCCACCCTCTGCTATGTCCCATCTTCCTCCCCCATTGTCCCTGGCATCCATGGTTGCCCTTCATACCTTCCTCCCCCCCCCCCCATTCAATTGTTATGCCAATGAACTTAATTAGTCTAAATAAATCCATTAGCTAGCACAGCTGACACAAACCTACACATGTATCCAAGTCTGACCCTAGGCATAAACCCCGGTGAGTAGAATGAACATACTATGAAGTAGTACCCAGCTGTGCCCATACAGCTCGCTGCAGTCATCA